GCTAGAGTACCGGGTCACCGTCGACGTCCCCGCGGCGCCGGTCGTGGATGACGATGTGGATAAGTCCAAGAAGGCGCAGCTTCAGCAGCATGGTGACGGTGCTTCTCGGGCTTGAAGGTAAGGCACATACTCACTCGCTGTAGACCACAGCCACCGTGACAGAAGATGCGCTCTTTAAGAGTGGCAGTGGCGATGAGATTTGGGCTATATTAGATGCAGCGGAAATGGAGAATGAAAATGCTATGGATGCAGATGATGAGAAACCCGCTGCTGGTTGGACGTGAAACCCTCATCCAACTCGAACGAAAACAATATAAACAAGAAGAGAACACCCATATCCCATGCCCTACGAAAATGAAAACTATTCAAGAAACAACATGTGGACAATGCTCTCTCGCGAGAGATGATGTCCCCCCTCCTGTCCATGTAAACGAACAAAAGTGTAAGAAAAGCCCAAGAAAAAAAATATCTCGCCCAATGAGCAGTATTAAGGGGCAAGGTGGAAAGCGGTTCATCCCTTATACCAAGTGCCCATGACGCAACAAAATATGAAGAACACATCCTTCATCCGCAATATGTAAACGACAAAAAAGAAAATCAAGACATGTCCCCGCCCCTTTCCCAAAGCCCTCAACAGAGTGAAACTTGCTCCCAAACATCTTTGAAAATCCTCCTCCTCGCTTTCCCGTGTACTGTGATCCCCCAAATGATGAGCACCATTCGCAACTGAACTGATCAAGGTGCCCCAATAACCAAAAACAAATCCAAGAACAAAACGCCTTCGCACCATGCTTGCAGTCTTCCAGGAAAATAATCATCGTCGTGTTTCGCTCCGCGTGTACTATATTCAAAATGCGTGCTCGGTGTGCCTCAATCCGGATGATGCGCCTTGCTGCTGTTGCTTTTCATGTCTGCATCTGAGCCGGCATTGTGACTCGAGCAGAAAGAGCATATATGCCGCAGGGCAGCCATGCGTATCGTCTTCGTCGTCTTCGTCGTCGTCGTCGTCGTCGTCGAATATCCCTCTCAAGTCGTCATGATCCGTTCATACCCTCTTCTCATGTCGTGCCGGGATGCGAATGCCATCCGTCGATGCAAACGAGCTCTTCATCCATCATGCAAAGGACGTAGAAGGTCATGCTCACGAGGCCCAATGTTCCAGAGTCTCGTCCGCGCATCTCTCGTCTCTGCATGTCGTTCTCCTTGTTGGGGCGACTTCAACAGCACTTCCTCCTTGCTTTTCCAACACCTTCATCGGCATCCTGCTCCGTCCCGCCCTGCTCAACCGTGACAGCAGGCGAGAAATTTGGCGAAAACAGCCAGCTCCGCCGGTCCCTCCCAACCCGGAAGCTGCCCCTGGGATTCATGCCGTCAAAGTACCCGCCGTCCATGCCCGTCTCGTAGCCCGGCGTGCCAGGCGTAGCCGTAGCGAGCAGCAGCGCCTGCTGCATCTTGCGGTTCTGCTCGACGAGCTTCCTCGTCACGACGCGGAACACCTCTTCCACGCCCTCGCCGCTCTCGGCGCTGATCTCGTGGCACGCGTCCCAGCCGACCTCCTGGCCCCAGAACCCAGAACTGCGTTTCGAGGACGGGCTACGCGGCTCGCCTCCGCTTGGTCCGCCGCCAAATGTGCTTGTACTTTGGTGGACTTGTGAAGAAGACTGGCGCGGGTCGGAGGAGGAGAGGAGGGAGGGCATGCCGCTGGACGTGGCTGTCGGAGGCGGTGTCGAGGCCAGGCCGGGGGCGAGGTTTTCTGCGACGTAGGCTATGCAGCGCTCAAAGGGGACTTCGCGGCGGGAGGGGTCGCGGGCGACGATGTCTGCTTTCGTGCCGACGACGTGGAGGACGACGTCGCCGGGGAGGTTGCGGCGGAGCTCTGTGAGCCAGACACCCATTTCGGTGAAGGACTGGGCATCTGTGATGGAGTAGCAGAGGATGCAGGCGTTGGCGCCGCGGTAGTAGAGGCGGGAGATGGAGCGGAAGCGTTCTTGGCCGGCTGGAGGGAACGGAAAACACACATGTTAGTAAATTGAACAAGTCTCTTTTTGCGACGACTGCGACAACAAAGTTGACAGAAAGAGTAACTTTGTTATTGCAGCTGGTGGTCAGGATGGGTGGATGGTGGAAGGGAAAAGCATACCGGTATCCCAGATCTGTAGTCGCACCACGGTGTCGGTATCGCTATCGACGACGCGCTTGGTCATGAAGCTCGCGCCGACGGTGGAGGTTGTCTGGGCCGGGTTGAAGGAGCCCTTGCAATAGCGCATGACGAGGCTCGTCTTGCCGACATTTTGGGAGCCGAGGACGACGATCTTTGCCTCGAGAGACGACATTCTCCCTTTTCTCTCTCCTCGGATGCCCCGTATGCGACGGGGAAAGTGAGAGGGTGAGGTTGGGTGGAGGTGAGGAGGAGTAGCGCGGAATGCGCTTTCTTGAGGAAGAGAGGTCGGATCGGTCGGTTAGGTGGAGAGAAGCGAATGTTTGACCAGGACAGGTTTGCCTTTGTAAAGTGGTTCGGTGCGTGATGCGACCGAGAGCCTGAGGGGTGGTGCAGGCTGTGGTGGTGGTGGGCACCGGTAGTGAGGGAACACTACTGGAATTCGGTGAGGGACAGCGCGAGAATGTTGGTGAGAATGGGTTTGTTGAAGAATCGTGGGGGGATTCAGGAGGGAGTGAAGCTCAAACGGGTGTGGCTTTCGTGCTACTCCTCGATTGGGGAAGACGATGTTTGATCCTTTGGAGGGGAAAGGGTAAAGACGACCGTTTGATTTCGAGGGAGGGAGGACTCGACGAAACGTTGATGGTGGTGGTGGTGGCTTCCGCTCGGTGCGCGGCTTTCTCACTCTCGTCCGTTGTGATACCGGGGGTAAGGTAAGGTACTTGTGTACGTACACGAGGGAACAACAAACACAATGCGCTCTTTTTTTCGTTTTTCGGTTCTTTCCTTTCTATTCAGTCTTTTCTTTCTAGTGTCCTTTTGTCTCTCTTCGCTTAGGGTAAGTGCGTGAGTCCTAGATCGAAACGTAGTCACGCCGGCGCCAAGTTTAAAACGCAGGCAGCCACGAGGTCAGTGATCGGCCGATGAGGCGCGTGGTGGTTGTGGTGGTGGTGGTGGGTGCCCGCCTTTTTGGTAAGCGGGACAGACAGATTTGGGGGAACTGGATGGGAATTCGAGGGTGCATGAGACTGCGTTTCTGAGGTGAGATTGAGCTGCCCGGCAAAGACGGGAGAATCACCAAGTTTTTCTTGATAATTGGAAGAGAGGAAGACCTTTGAAACGGAGAGTAGGAAATGGGCGATTCGGCTCCGAGAAGTGTTGTAACGGCCGCTAGCAACGGACGAGGATGTGGGTTGTTTGATTTCTCAGTGTTGTTTTGTTTGTTTTGTTGTTGTATTTTCCCTCTCTCTATTTCTCTTCGCCTACGTAACAAGGGGGGATAGTGGGATAAGGATCACGGACGGGGAGCGAGGGGAATGATATGGATTCGGCTCTGTTGTTCAGTACTCAGAGAAATCATACAACTTAACATGATTCTACCATTGTGTTTTAGGTAGTTCAAATCGAGAGATTGGAGTTGCATCCCGCCCCCATTTTCCGTTTCTGTTCGAGACCAAGGTGCGTTCCGAACGAGCACCATGTATGGGATTTAGTGGTTGGCGCGGGGGAATGAGGCTGAGGCCGTGGGGTTAAGCTGTACTATAGCTATCTCATGTTGGGATCAGAACGGTTCGTTATCAGGAGAAACTGCTGATAGATGCGATATGCTTTGTTTAGGAAGGGATCTTGCATGGACGGGTGTTGGGGAACTTGAGGGGGCATCTGATGTGTCAGTGTATCAGATAGTGAGCGATGATGCCAACTTCTTCCGCTCCTTCTAGAAATATTCCACTCAGGAACATCTCCGCGAAGAAATCGGCACCAGGCCCGCCTTCACAATCAACTGCAGCTAACCCGCATATCTGGCGCGACCATGGCTTGCAGTAATCCGTAGAGAGCCTCCTCAACTTCACTCTCAAAGGATGCTACAAGAGTCAGTCGCATTATCATCCACCTAGTCATCCGATTTGGAGATGGTCGCGTGGTGCACTCGAAGCGGGTCCCTTCTCTCCAAAAAAAAAACGCACAATGTCGTCATCGGGTCAAGGCCATTGCTTCTTTTGCTCTTTTCGAAGCGAACCATGTGCCGCCAACGGCCGCCTCAGAAGTTTAGGAACGGTTAAGACGAACGAACAAATAAACGTTTTGAGCTTTGAAAAGCGGTTTACCTCGAGGGGCATATGCACGACTGAAGCCAATCGGTCCTCGGCAATCGGGTGTCCATTCTGTTGTAAAGGTTGTTCATACTCATTGGCTAGTCCCGCGACGGCCCGAGATACGTGTAAGCCAAGAACCGGCACAACTCACCTGCTACGGTCTACAGATACAACTCAGCAATTAAGGCCGAAAAAGAAAACTCAATCATTCAGATGAACGGCATGTGAAGAAGATACGCATGCGTCGCGATGCGTTCCATGGGCTAGGCACGGTTTCATGGCACAGGTGTGCTCTTTCCAGCCCGATGGTGTCTATGGCAATCGTAATCACTGAAATCTATCCGTAGTTGTGATCGAGTGGATGAAGCTAAAAAGTAGGCACGGTGCCCTGTTATAGGCAAGTATTCTTATCACTGCAGACGTGTAATCCGTGTCCACGCTATTTTTACCCCCAACGTTATATCCTTAACCGTCAGGTTATATGGGGTCTTCATAGTTGATCATCACAGTCAACAACACCAACTCGAGTACAACCTTATTCATTGTCAAACATCACACACACTTGGAACTCCTCGTATTAAACATTAAGTTTTCTTTTTTTCGATCTGGTATCTAATTAAGTATTGTCTAATGTCTAAAATTGTTGCTTCTTTTTCTTTTCTCTAATCCCGCTTTCCAAAAAATAATCAGAATTCGCTACATATTAGGTATCATCATTCTTCTTCTCCTTTTCCTCCTCCTTTCTTCTACAAGACAACGTGCAAAGTCTTTGCGATGCTAGGCGTGCCCTGCGCATTCGAGGCAAAGAGGTAGTAGAACCCGGGGAGCAGGATACCATAGTCCTCGGGCAACTTGGCGGAGAAAGACTGGCCGTCGACCTGCACGTTGTCGAGCGGGATGCGGCGCTGATCCGTGTTGGACGAGTGCGTGACGCTACCGGTACGGATGAGCGTGACCTTGGCACCCTTGCCGCCGGCCTCGACGCCCTCGACGGTAAAGGTAATCGTCGCGCCGGCCTTGACGGCCTCCTTGGTGACCCCGGACACGACGGGCCGCGCAGCCTTGGTTCCGTCGGCGTTGTACAGGTAGGGGGGCTCAAAGATTTCGCCGTCGGCGTGGTCGACCGTCTTGTCGCAGCCGGCCGTGGAGCCCAGGATCTGCTGGACGTAGCACAGGCCGCCGCCGCCGGTGAAGACGGTGGCGTCGGGCATGAGGATCGCGACGGAGTGGTAGTTGCGCGGGACGGCCATGGGCGCCATCTGCTTCCACTCCTTTGTTTCCGGGTTAAAGAGCTCGGCGACGAGGATGCCGTCCGTGTTGGTGAAGACGAGGGACTTGCGCTGCCCACCCGTCACGAGAACTTGGCCGTCGGGAAGGACCACGGCGTTGGCGAAGCCGCGGGGGAAGGCCATGTCCGCCACGCGCTCGACCTCGGACGGGGTGCCCGGCTCGCCGATGGTGGTGATGTGGGCATGCACGGTGGCGTCGCTGTCGGTGTAGTCGGGGCTTCCGCCGGCCGAGAGGATCTTGCCGGCGACGGCGTCGTACATGACCCAGGTGCCGCACATGGCGTCGTCGTCGTCGCGGGTGGCGGCCTTGGTGACGGAGCCGGTGCCCTCGATGCCAAACCAGTGCTGGTCCTTGCCCGGGCCGGCCTGGAAGATGCTGTTGTTCTTCCAGCCAAAGAGCCAGGCGTGGTTGTCCTCGCGCCAGATGCCCTCGTGGTCGTTGGTCAGGATCGGGGTGACGTCGGCGCCGGGGAGGTAGGTCCACTCGTTGGCCTCGGGGTCGTACACCTCGCCGTTCTTGCCCTCGCGCTTGCCAGAGTAGGCTCCGCCAATGGTGAAGATCTTGCCGCTGGAGAGGAGGGTAGAAGTCTGGTAGCCACGGGCAACCTTCAGGTCGGGACCGCGAGTGAAGTTGTTGGTGGCCGGGTCGTAGATGCTGACGGCCTCGGCGTCGGAGCCGCCCTGGATGACGATGCGGCCATCCTGAAGCTGGCTGATGGCCGGGCAGAACATGTCGTGGTGGGTGTTGGTGACAGCGCGCTCAGAAATCTCACCGGTAGCGAAGTTGTAGTCACCGTACTGGGTCATGCCAGAAGCACCGCCAAAGGCGTCCACACCCCACGAGGAGAAGAACAGCAGTCTGCTGGGCTCGGGGTAGGACGGGACGATGTAAGCCGCAACGGGAATCACGGGCAGACGAATGAGGTCGCCCCACTTGCCCTGGACGGCCGGGTTGATGTTCTCGGGGACGTGGATGGTGTCGAACTGCTTGTTCTGGACCCAGAACAGAGATGTCTCGGGCTCGGCGGCCTTGATGTGGCAAACATTGTTGATGTTGTCAAAAACAGCCTTCTTGCAGTTCTGAGTGTTGGAGCAGAGCTCAGAGCAGGCTTGGATGGTCGTCACATCCTGAACAATCTTGGCGCTGTTGCCGGTGTAATCGGTGCCGCGGCAGACACGGTAGTCGGCGCTGCCCTTGGGAACTCGGTAGCCCTCCTCCTTGAAGGGGCAGGTAGCAAGGAATGTGCCGTCGACAAAGTCGTTTGTCATACGGATAGAGTCGAAACGGTCGTCGGCTGCCCAGTTCATCTCGTTCTTGGTGTCCTTAACGTGACAAACCTTGAGCTCCTTGTCGTAGACGGCTCTGTTGCAGCGAGCATCCTTGTCACAGATCTGGACACACTCGACTGTGGTCTGAACATTTTGAACATATTGGAGACTGCCACCACCATACTGGTAGTCAGAGCCAGGGCAGACGGTGTACTTGACTCCAATGGGCGATTCCCATTCGGCCTCATCGTTCGGGCAGGCTGTGATGGCTGCGGAGGAGAACCGCGAAAAGAGAGAGGCGGCCGCGATGGCCTTGTATGCGGTTGAACGAACCATGTCGGTGTGTTGATGTTTTTGGGAGCTGAACTGCTCGTGTAAGAGAGAGTATGGTTCCTCAAAGAGATCGAGGATGTATGCGTATTGATGAGTGAGTGTAGGTATTAGACACGTATAAGCAATGAGAGACGTGTGTCTATAATTAAGAATAACACAAAGGATAAGGAGAGGCACGAGAGGCTACTCGTGAGAAATTGTCGATGAGAGCGGCGTTGAAGAAGAGAATTCTCAAAAGGGCAGAGAAGAAGAAGAAACTCGACGATATGTATATACACAACCACCTCGCCAGGCACATCGTGCATCACAGCTCCATCTGCGGCACTTCCGCAGAGGAGAGGACGCTCCAAGAGAGATCCATCTCCCAAAATGTGGAAACTCTGGAGCCCCCAAGCTAGGCTGCGCCATCCCGCAGGTGCAGTTATGGCCCGATAGAGTCTGCCGGGGAGTTGGTCCTTCGTCGACGCCGAGTCGGCGCTGGCGAATGGCGAGGCTTCCCGAGCCGCGATCCCCATCGAGAAAGAGGATAAGGTGGGAACCATGCCCAGATGCTCAAGCCAGGCGCTGGCCTTGGGGCCGAGTGGAGGTCCAAGCAGGAAAAGCCCGTGATGTGGGAAAGACAGGCAGAAGAAATCGTGTGGAGATTCTGAGAAGCCGCTCGGCCATCCATCAGGCTTGTCGTGTTGTTCTGACTTTAGGTTCATCCTCCTCCCATGAATCCTACCGCCGCCCGAACAACAAGACGGCTGGCGGTCAGGCACGTCGCACTACGACGACGACGACGGCGGCGGCGGTCAACCTGAACCCTCGAGCCTCGAGCCTTTCCCCCTTTGATGTACCCTTGTACAGACCCGCAGAGAGCCCCATTGCTGTGGTTGCAACTTGCTGTTAGCCGGGATATCCCTCGGGCTCGCGCCGTGGATCGCATGAGTGATCGTCGAACACTGCCTCGAGCTTTGAAGGTTTGGGGAGGAAAAATTCGTCTGAACATTCATGCTTGTCAAAGCTTTTGCCGTGTTTCCCACGAGAGAAGCTGTCAAATAAGGTTAGCCGTCGTCCGATGTTCTGGGGAACACACACACACACACATACACGCACTTTAACATTGCCCGTCTTGACGTAAACAACTGTGCAACTTGTCAGCATCATCCCGTCGGTGTCGTTCGTGTTGACGTTGGCAAAGCTGGGTCGCCCTGCCATGACCCCTGCAGGCAAAGAGAGGACCTCCTCGACGGCCAAGACCAGTGAATAGACGAACGGAGAAGACCGAGCAATTCAGCGATGACAGCTGGGTCGGGTATGGAGTACGAAGTAGACGCCGACCAGTCACCATGGTCAGCTTCTCATTGCCGGCTACACGTATCCCGTTCGACTCGAAACACGCGTAGTTGCTGCCCAGATTCATCAGGGACAATTTTCTTAGGTTTGATGCTGTGTTTCCTCGTATGAATAACGCCACATATTTCCCGAAGGCCCAGATGGTGAGAGTTCGCGTCTTCGTATAAGAGTAGCGTGTTAGACGATCAGCGTATGGCGAAATAAAAGAGGGCACGGGATCGACTCTCTGCTAGATCGTCTGGGAACTCGGTAGCGATGCAGTGCCTGGGAAAGGGTTACTGCAACTCTGCAGGACCGGCACAGCCCTATGAAAGCTAGCCGCCGGTAATCTGCGTCGAAACATGGTTGGACGCTGCCTTATCTCTGGAGACGCACAAAAGTCGGCACAAAAATAGAAAGCCGTTCATCCGGTGTGGGAGGAAGCTCGCCAGGCTGTCCAGGCCCCAGGGCCAGCCAGGCTTGACCAGTGGGGGTTTGGAGAATACAGTGATAGGGAAGGAAAGAAAAATATCCCCGAAGTTCTGGCGTGAACTCAAAAAAGCGTAGACGCAGGAACCCGGTCACCCTATGGAGCTGGAGCTGGTGTGTTGTTGGAGAACTTGCGAAGGGAAGAAGTTGGAAGGGAAGAGCCCCGTTGGCCGGATTCTGAAACGAGCAAGACATTGTGTCGATCCCGCCCAGCTTGGCGTTCTTACCCCTGCCTCTTTAGGACCTCGCTAAACCCTCTGAGGACGACGGCCAAGAGATCGTGGAGTCCCCCGGCTCCCCTTTTTCGCAAACCGTAATGTCTTTTTTGATTGCATGAGAGCCTCTATGACTCGTATTCTCTCCTTCCACAACCGCTGAATCGCTCCAACCTTCCAAGCATACTTTGTAAACGTATGCGTCTCCTTTTCTTGGCTGGCTATCCACATATCTCACAGCCTCACGATCCCAGGACAGATGCAAACCGGATAAGACGGGTGCGCGTGCACATAAAAATCGTATCCGCCCCATTTCCAGTGCAAATCTCCAATGCACAATGCGCCGTCTTTGTCCGGACTTTGACGTCACACCCGGCGGCGGGTAGCCGGACGGGCCGACCGCATTAGGTGGGAGCCGGGCAGGACGCCGATCACCGCGAGGAATGGAGGCTCTGCCGTGTTCTCGTACGACTTGCAACTCATTGCATTGCATCCACCACATTGGGTTTCTTGGGCGAACGTTATCATCAGCCGCATGCCATCGAAATATCGATGGACTACACCTCTGCCAACGACGGCCGAAGTTGGACCCCAGAAACACGTTGAACACACTAATGGAACTACCGTGAGGATATCTCTCGTGAAACCTCGTGTTCACTAGCTTGCGGGCGCTAGGGATGCTTCGGACCCGAACTCCTCTACATCAAGCCACGAAGAACGGAACAAAGCCGCGTGAGTAGTCGCGAGCTCTGTTTGAGCGGTCATTGCGACTGTAGATACCGACAATACGGAGTAGACTCGGTCCCAATTATACGTGGATCCAAATGACGAGAGTGCCTTCTCGTGAAAGACTTTGCCTCTTTTGGATCAATGATCTCTCCCAACTACCCGAAATGGCACCATGGTAATTGCAAGATCTTGATCAACAATACAAAAACAGCGAATTTTGTTCTAGCTGCAACTTCCTCTGCCCAAACGCAGAATGACTTGGACGTGGGGTTAATCTCCGACGCAGAAACGCCCCGAAACTTTACTGAATACGATCCTTGAAGTGTGCTGCCCAGCACATCTCGATACGAGTCGAATGGCCATCCGGGTGTTTTGTCATCAAGGCAGACATGGGCATCGCCTACACGTTCTGGTAGGAGATTCAACGATTCGTCAATACACTGGAGGAGCTTTGGTGTCGCCTTCCTTAGTCTCTGAGCAGGACTCCGAATCTCGTGTACTTAGGTTCGTGTAAGTACTCTCCAGCATCAAGTTCACTGTCGCTTGAATTTTCCCGATGCTACGCCATCTATCTGCAGCTCAGAGTACCTTACTTAGCAGGACGGAGGCTAGGATTTGATTGTAAGGCGTACCTACGTGGCCTGCTTTTCTTGGTGTAAGCTGGGATGCAGTAAGAAAGCAACACCTGGTTTTCCTTGAAGGGGGTGTCTTGTACCCATTATGCCGTGATGTCAGTCGATGATGAAACTTCACGCTTCTTACCCAAACACTTGTCGTTGTCTGCCTCTCATCATGTCTCAAGAAGAAATACCTATCTCTCAGCCCGGCGTGCTTGCCTAGAGGAGGACACCTTGAGAGGCACTAGCAACCACTCAATCTAAAGGGTATAAATGGCCGCCGTATCAGCGCCCACACTTCAGTCAAGACAAGGCATGATCATGTCTGAAGGCTTCGTACGCCGGATTGCCATGCTATTTTTTCGATGTCGCTCGTATACAAGACCAGAGAAATCCTACTGCACCCACCTCCCAACTCACAGCGAACACTCCTCTGCAATTCTATTCAATACAAGCTTATTGGCCATGGAATACGCCACGATTATCCGATACTGCACAACGTGAAGCCACTTCATCTGCAGCTGGTACAGGAAAGAAGTTTTATCTCGAAACCCTCCTTCAAGCCAATCGCGAAGCCCATCATCAGAGAAGCTGGCGCGACATCAACCGACCGACGCAGTCTGGTCAATTATTTCACTGAGAGCGCAAGGCTGGTCCATTTTATATTAACCTCAGGCTCTACGACAAAGGTAATTTGAATCGTGTTTTATAATCTCTGCAATGAGATTACCTGACCGTCTCAATATCGTAGTGAGAGAGTCATCTTTTGCCTTTGCAAAACATGGGACATGGCGTCTTACCAGGTGTTTCTGTCCCCAAGACAGCTTCCACAGGATTTCTTGGAGAAGCCGTTTTTTCAAGGTTCAATGTCAGTCTTTCGGCACTTGTTTTTGAGCAGCTGGCCTCTCATACACAGTGGTGGAGGAGAGGAGTAACATCAGTCTTTACCTAGGTGCTTCAAATTTCGGTCTAGTGCTGTGAGCCTCGCTCCTTCTTGCCCCAACTAGGTTCGTAAGAACGAGACTGATTACTCTCAGATGTCGAGTTCGGCTCCCGCAGCTGCTTTAACGATCCCTATCCCAGACTATCTCGGCTGTCAACATTTGACTCTCTCGGCTCGATACGCAAGAGAAAAAGGAGAAGAAGAAAAAAAGAAAAGGAAAAACTCTTATAATTCCTCACGAGCAGCTTCGCATCTCACAGTGGCTTGTGTGCGGCTGGCATTTAGACGCCTCTTTACCCCGCATAACATACGGTAGCTCGTGGGATGGATCGCTCTTATCCTCCCGGTTCTTGGATCAACGGTAACCTCTCTGCCGTTTTCTGCCTTACACTTCCGCCACGCGAAGACTAGAGAGACAGTGGCGCGCACGAAATGCTCCGTAGCGCCAACACCTGTATGACCGTTTCCGGATTGTCACCACAACTACCGTCTCTCGGCCCTACGGACATGCTGTCTGCGGCTGTTTCCGAGTTATTGGAATCCCATTGTGAAAAGCTGATAAGCTTCAGACTTTCAGCATCGCCTGATATCGAGGATTGAGCCATCTAATCAAGTGACACATGTCTTGAACCCTACAGTGTTCCCGCCGCGGGGTACTGATTATCATTTGGTGTCGAATGCGGAATGTTGAACCTCAGCTCTCTTATTAGTGAGCTGCGGCTGATGAATGGTGCTCCGTTGTCGTAAGAATGCGTTGCTACTACGATGTGATAGCCAATGCCGAGAAGTCTTCCGTAAGCCGGCTCATGTCTCGCACATTGGATCACGCCGCTGAGGGTCAGTAGGTATGGCCTGGGAAAAGGGACAGTGGGCACCACAGCCTAGTATTCCCCATATTCAAGGCTTCTCGGAACACAAAATTTGGTATCGCGAGAATATTGCTGGAAATCCATCCCGTTTCCTAGAAGGTAACAAGTCATAGCCAGGAAGAAACTCAAAGTTCAAAAACCATTTTATTCCACAGCCCATCATAGAGCTTCACTTCCACACGAAGCATTGGCAAGAAAGAGCCCTCGTTAACAACAAATATCAATGTACTAGAGCTGCAAGCTTCCATCCTGCTAATCCGACAACCAGCATACCGGAAACAGATTCCACTCCTCTCGCTGAGTCAAACATGGCTGGCTAAGATGGTATGTCTACGGTTCTACGCATCCATCGAACAACCCTCGTAGCCCTGATACTAGAGAAAGTAATAACATGAGGGGGCAGAGACCATAGAAACGATGTATAAGAGGAGGCCCTTATCCCCCCCAAATTTGACATATCATTCTCCTCGAACACATCCTACCTTCCATCACCATTCTCTTCATCCCGCACAAACTCTGCCTCTA